TATAAAATTTATTTATAAAAATAATAATATATTACGTATATATTTAGTATAATATATTTACTTAAAATAATAATAATAATAATAAAATATTTTATTTATATATATATATATTTATATGTAGTGCTATTATTAGAACAAACACACACACATAACGTGACCGGTCGTCTTCCATTCTCGTGTGACCTTTCGCAACATAAAAAAAACTTTTCTACTAGTCGTGATCCATTATCTTTTCCAGTTCCTCTCAAGGTTGTCGCATGGCGAAACTCTCATTCATTTTATTAGTATGATTTCTACGTTCAAAATGCGTACTGTGCATACATACATACATACATATGTATAAACGATTTAATACCAGAACCTAAAACTATATTTGTACATTTTACATAAGTGGGAGAAAAAGATCAAATATATATATGTATGTATGTATATAACTTTGATGCTTATATTAACATAAATTTTGACAAATATTTTCTTGCAAATTCTATAAAATATAATGTTGACAAAAAAAAAAAATGTCATACTTGAGTATATTATTCTTCATGACGTCGATTAAGTGTGAAATTGTAGGATGCTTTTGAATTAATCGACAATCATCGTGCAAAAGAATATGGCGCATCGTGTCATGCTTGATTCGACAAATAAAAAATGTGTGCTTTTCCTGTTCGTTTAACCTTGTGCCACGATTCAATGAAAATTATTCTCCTTCGAGAGAATTACCCTCTCGTTTAAGTCGGCTGATGAGTAGCATCGATAATTACATCGATAATTATATCGAAAATTACATCGAAAATTTACGAAAGAGTATGTAGTACGTATATGTTGTCCCCACTCTCACGTGAGAACTCTGCTTAATGATTTATATCGTTTAGAATGAATCAGAGAGAAAAAGATGGCGAGATTCGTTTGAATACATGATTGATGACGTTGATGATAACGTTTTACATGCAGTCAAGTGAAACGATTGTGAATTATGTATACGTGTATTTAATTTGTCATATTTTTTTCTTACATTTTATTAATATTATTATTATTATTATTATTATTATATATATATTATTCAATATTACATGAGAAAGGAATACTTATCAGCGGTCGGTAAAAAAAAAAAAAAGAAAAAAAATATATAGTTCTATCGTTTATAGACTGGTTATTAACTTTACACATATCTTATTGACACTTTTATCTTGTAATATCGTATATTATCTTTTAATAGACTTATGAGAGAATATTTTTTTTTTTTTTATCGGACTTTTCAGGATAAATCTATTTATAATATAATTATTACGTAAAATTATGTCATTAAAGTATAAATATGTGTTTATATTGATGAACAATATTACAGAAGAGAAGAGGGGTCGTAAGATTGACACAGATCAGTTTTATTTTTATACGATCTTTCTGATATAAATAAATAAATAAATAAATATGTTAATAAAGAAATAATGGAACACATTACGAATTAACGATCTTCTCGTGACAAATATATATATATATATATATACGGTAGCCTAATTAGAATAACTCATTGTCAGTGTACAAATATATATGTATTAAAATAAACAGAGAATAAGTATTTAAAACAAAAACAAAAAAAGGTAAACATTTTTATGGAAAAAGTTTGTTCCTTGTTTTGTGCGCAAACTTATGCGAATAATGTAATAGGAACTTTCCTATTGTCTATTGATTCTTTTCTTACTTCAAGGATGAAAACTGACAAAGTTAAAAAAAGATCCATCAAGCTGTAGATCTATGCATACACACTAATGCAAAAAGTATTGCAAATAGTTTCGAACTGTATCGAAATGGAATTAGGTTTGCGTAAGCGCCATTTGTATCCTGATTCGATCTATAAATAAAGCAACCCTGTACCGAACTACTTGAGCTATAGCGAAACTTCGATTTATAGTTCGTGACTATATATACGAGTGCACGTGTCTATTTGCATGTGTATACTATTAACTATCTGTATATATATGTGTATAGAAACAATGTGTAGTATGTGAACAACACGTACTTAAGTGCAGTATTTATGTATAGTACATAGTTCTCATTAGACGATAGACAATAGTTGAATGATAGATAAATCCTTCGAAATTTGAATTCCTTTCTTCACACTAGAGGAAGAAGTACACTACCAATCAACAAATTTCTAATCAATTTCTAATTTTCCGTTTCTAATTAATTACTACTATATACCAAATATATTAATCTGTTAACCGAGCGGGACGTATAAATACGTCAAACGTATTACTTTAACATGTTGAGGACCACGCGAATTTTTAGGAAAATTTTCTGTCAAGCCACAGGCGTTACTTAATTAAATATATTTTTTATATATATTTGATTAATAATTATATATATTTATATCATGAATTATATATTTATTTGCAAGTCACTTTCCACGTGACTTAAGATAGATAAAGATTAATTATTATTGTTTCGTAACACTTCCTATCAAAATTGTCAACGATTTGTACCTTTTTTTTTTTTTTTTACCTAATTAATTAGATATTAAAATAAATTTGTATTTTTTCGTTTCCTTCGTATTTTTTTTTTGTTTTTTTTTTGTTTAAGATTCGAAAGGAAGAAATCACTACTACTTATTTATCGTAAGCGAATGAACACAA